TACTGGTAACCATTTAACTGATATAATTGGAGGAGGTTAAATGGATAATTTAAAAAATGATATTGACTTGAAAAACATCTCAATGAACATCAAGACATAGCAGGTGAGAGAGAGGAAGGAAAAGGGGGCCAGACTAGGGGACCAGAATAGGTAGTCAGGTACAGCCCCACCAGGAGAGGGTGCCCAATTGTCTCCTGAGGAACACCCTATTATATCTCCCCTAATGTTTCAGGGAATAAATGCACCATGCTATGAAACTCCCATTCTAAACAGAAGCACCTGTTATCCAGATGACAGGTAACCTTGTGGGTTGGATACTGATAGAAAAGGCAGAAACAGGTCTACAACCCAACTTTTTATTTGCTTGCACTTCAAAACACAAATACAAACATTTATTCCAAAGTCTATCTGGCTACCCATTACAGCGCAACATAAATTCTCACCTATACCAGCACGAGAGACTTGAGAGATTGGAGGAGGGTGGCGCACAGATTAACTGCAGGTCTTCTTGAATTTGTTGAGTTCTCCAGATTTCTCCTCAGCCTATACCCCATATTTATAGATGGTTGTTCTAATATTCTAATAAATGACCTCTTTAAATTTGTTTAAATTTCTTTGCTTTACTGAAAGGTGTCAATTAGTTGAGATTTGTTCCTGTGAAATTACACTTCTGGAGGGCAGGATTCTTAGCTCCTTCCTTCACCATTATGGGATATTACCTGCCCTCATCCTGTTTTTCTCTTCCCCCAAATTTATGGTCTTTCATAAACAAGGCTGCTTTGTGTTTGGGTTGGTTTCTTTTTACAACTTATCTAAAAACTTAACAAAAATATCTGCTTTTTTTGTTATATTAATTGCTATAAACTAAAGCTATGATATAGCATATTCCGATTATATAATATACAGTCTTCCCTTATATTTCTTTTCAGACTTTGTGCGCTGTTTTAATTCTATCTTATTACTGATTTAGTTAGACATGTTGAAGGCTTCCTTTAGTTTGCTAAGCAAGCTGATTATCACATCTGCAAAGGCTCATGCTATGATCACTCAGAGACAGACCTTGGGGTCTTCTGCTTAACCACACTTCTGCAGCTTGGCCTAGGCCCCTTGAAAATGGCCAAGGCTGGCAACATACCAGGCACTCTGATGCTGGCATATGATAGTCCATACCTAAGTGAACTTTTCCTCCATCCCCTTTGTCAGTGGGGCTAGATTTGGCTTCCTCAGATAGTATCCTAGGGCACCCCTCTTCTTGGACATACTGCTCCATGACACCATCCTGTCCCTGTGTGAGCTCTTCAGAGATGCCAGGAAGGGGATAGGGAAGGGACAGAGGGTGGATGTGAGGGCACAGCTTGGTGGCAGTGGGGATATGTAGCAGAAAGCCCCCTTTTCCTCTTGCCTGCAGTTGCTCTCCCCTCTTTGGATATGTTTCTCTTCTATCTTTTCTTCCTTCCTCTTTCTTTCAGTATAAGATAAGGATTCCATTTTAAAGTTTGTATGTGTGTATTTTGTATCTCCCCTTGTATTTTGGTATTTTTATCTATTTGTGTGCCATGGCATTACTCTTGTAGCTTATATTTTATACTCCTCACCTTTTAACTAAATGTGTTTAGTTTCAGAAGTAAGTTATACATTGTAACAATGTTAACAAGGGCAGGAATCTAACTGCCGCTTCCCTGTATCAGGCGGGCCCCTGAAAGAGCGAGTGAATCAGTGATTGAATGCGTAACACAGTAGCAGGCAGACATTAACACCTAGGAAAACTGCAGATCAACCAACCGAATAAATCAATAGGAGACAATGTAGCAACCGGGAATTCTCTAAACGTCACTGATCAAGGGCTAGAAGCCCTGGTCTGAGTTAATCAATGCCGGGGACCAACTTTTGGGCTGAATATCTCCAGATCGACCGCTCCCAGAGCCCTATTCAAAATTCATCAACAGACTCCCAAACCTACACGTACATGCGGACGACCCCTGGGGCTGCCAGATGCCATCCAGTAGCCACCGAGGGGGAAGTCCCACAAGGGTCAACGACCCCTGGATTGGACAAACGTGAAAACTGGGGAGTCACCAAACTCTGCCAAGGACAGATAAAAAGCAGTGAAAAGTGACCCTCAGTGGCACCCTCTTGATCTCCAACTTGACCAGCCCCCGACCTGTCCAGCCAGAAGGACCAGCCGGCAACCTCCTTCTGGAAGATAACACCACACTGAAAGAAGCCTCGACAGCACACTCCAGCGCCTGTGGGATAGGTATACCTGACTCCTGTAGCTCGCTACTGTGTGTGTGCATGTGTGTGTGTGTGTGGGGACCAGCCCCAAGGTTTATGATTTGACTTCATTACAGTGTTTCAATCCATCGAATAAACCAGAATTTTAAGGATCCCGAGTTGGACATTTGTAGCCAACAGATGGAGCAGTGGGAGAGAGTCCAGTGGACTACAGGACTACTGGGGAGTCTGCAGGGACATTTATCTTGCGGTCTCTCAGCAGTCTTGGGACACCAACTCTAAGAAGCTTCCAAGGGCAACTCCTGGTTGTGGCCAATACCAGTAGAGCAGGGGGCCTAGAAACCATACGCCCCCATGGAAGAATCAGGAAGAAATTTATCTGAGGGAATCTCAGAGTTTGTGTCCTGCCCTATTTACTCATGGGAGGGCAAAGAAGACCAATAGCACAGTACTATAGCCACAATGCCTGGACACCCGGAGCAATGGCTTGTTAGTGTCTGTGGTGGAAATTCCCCTCCTTGCAGAAACATTGCTAAGTCAAGCCTGTGGCCTCTGCGCAGAACTTGTTGGCTGCCCCCTCCCGTTCTGCTCAGCATTAAGGAGCCTTGCAAACTATTTTGTCCAGCCTTCAACCATCCCCATTGCACTAGGTCTGCTTTGGGATAGCCACCATTTCCTAAAGCAGTGTGTATGGGGGGCGGGGGGGCGGACACCCTTCAACAGATCCCAGGCAGCCCCTAGAAAATGTTGGCCTTCAGTTTGTGTCCGTGCCTTCATCTATGCTGGCCCCAGGAGCCTTACCTGGGTTTCTGGGGGTTTCCTGGGGCAGCAGCAGTCTTGGAACCTGGCTGTTAGCCAGAGGATGGCTCTGGCCAACCAGGCTCTGGTTTCTGGCAGTGTACACTGCTGCCACGTCTGCTGTGCCACTTTTTTTAGTGGTTTTTTGTTCTGACACCAGGATCTTCCGGTGTCAAAAAACCCCACTGTGCTGCTAATTTTTATACATGAGGGTGTACATGCACCAATGCAGTTTGCGGCATCACAAACAGGTTTGAGGTGCTGCAAACTGAATGTATGTATTCATTAGCATGTGCCCAAAAGGTCAGAATGTTTTGGACACTATGGATTCCTATTTGAAATCTTTGGGTTCATCTTGTGAACTATGTGTAGGGGTTTGCAGTGCTAATATTGTGTGGCAGCCCACATCACCCTTCAGTGGACCTTATGGCATCCCAGGGTGGTTGCGTACCCTGGTTGAGAATCACTGCTCTAAAGACTTAGCAGACTGAACTGCATTATATCATAAATGCTTTTGTTAAGTTACGGTAAATTTAAGTGGCCACAGGGTGGAGGTGTACTGTAAGAATGGGAAGCAAGCTACTGTCAGAAACTGGCTTTTGTAATATGTGCGTCATTTCCAGCCTTCCACACAGGGAAGTGCTTCTATCTCCCACTATCTGGCTTGTAAGATGTAGGTGTTGAGGTGGTACTTTCATTCCATTTAGCAGTTGTAGCAATCTCGAGCTACAGCTACAAACCACAACCTCTGCTTGAACTTTTTGTACTTCTCTAAAAAGCCAATCTGACTCCCCTACCCACAGCCTCACAGCACAGACTGTTACAGTTTGGGCTACTCTAGGAAAAGCTTGCTACCTAACTTGTCAAAACCAAAGCTATTTGCTTTATCCTGGCAAGGTAGTTCACCCCAGCCAATTTATTGCAGCCAAAAGCATGCATGGCACCTCCCATGCCCTTCAAACTGCTAACATCCAAAATGCAGCAGCTGCTGTTACAGACCTTGTAAGGCAAAAGAGCCCAGACCCTGTCCAGGTTGTCAGAAAGCTACAATCACACCCTCATTTAGAAGAGAGGTGTTTTGTGACACTGCCAGCACTTCAGGATTGACTGTGGACATCTTTTCCCTTTCCTAAGAGGGGAAACTGTAGGTGCCTCAATGATATGGACAGCACCAGCTCTATCACTGTGCCAAGCTTTAGTGTTGTGTCAAGGCCAATATGGGAATCACCATAATGCATCTCATTTGTGGTACTGCTAAAGTGTTGGTCTGTGGCCTCTATTCTGTCCTATTCACATTGAGTTTCCCATTGGTGTAGGGAGGGTGACTGGCAACAAAACCACCCACGCATTGAATTGCAGGAACTATTTAGTCTTCAGTTTGGTAAAGTACATTAAATCAGGCAGCCTGTCAAGTAGAAGAGTTTTACAGACCTGCAGGCAGATTGCTTTGGCAGAGACTGGGTTCCCCTAGCACAGGGGTGTCAGAGATGCAGCCTATGGGCTGGATTTGACTTTTGGAGCCATGTCCTCCAGCTCAGAGGGCTCCTGGCAGGGCTGGGAATTCAGAATTCGAACCCACCACTGAATTTTGGATTATGGAGCCCAGTGGGGACATGCTTCAGTAGCTGCATTAATCCCTGCAACTCCCTGAGCCAACACAGTGCCACTCACCCTGCTGCCTTGCACAATGTTGCTGCTTGCCCTGCTGCTGGAGTTGGGTCCAGAAATGGTCCAGGAAGATCCTTTCAATCTGGATCCAGGCAGCAAGGATCCCTGTAATCTGGATCCAGCCTGGGAGGTGGGGAGAGCAAGTGAATTTGACATGCCTACCATAGTGTGACAGCTAATCCATGTCCTGGGGGAAATGAGTTTGGGGATCTTAGACCTGTTTCTGAAGTTCAGTCCTCACTGCAGATACCAACATGGCTTTACTGGGCAAAAGGTTGCAACTTCATTTCTGGCTTTTGCCCCTGCCTCAATGACTTGAGCTCCTCAGCTCTCCAGAAAATCTTCTCTTCAGGGTGGAGTGATCTGGGATATAAAAAGTATCCCCTATACACTAGGGTGAGGGCTGGCTTACAAAACCAAGCCTGTTTCTCTTAGCCCTGCCCCAGCATTCCTGATAACCACAGCTGGGGGACAGCTATAATTTTCCTGGTTTATATATAGAGGGAGAAGCTGTGCCTCAGGCAAGAACTATATAAAAGGGGCTGGCTACCTTTCCAAGGCTGCAAATGCAGGAGAGCTGAGGGTCTCCCTCTCCTGGAGATCATGGACACTTCTTACCCACGGGAGGACTACCTGCCCATGACGTCCCACAAACAGGACCATTCTTCCACTGTCATCACCATTGGATCATCCGTGGTACCCCAGGACCACCTGATTTGGTCCATCTTTAACACCATCTACATGAACCTCTGTTGCTTTGGTTTTGTGGCTCTTGCTTACTCCATCAAGGTAAGGATCTAGCACAAGTCCATAGAGGCTGATCCCTCAGTGGAGCTTTCTGGGTCAACGTTACACCTCTAGGGGATGCTGGTAGGAAGGAGATGCTCCAACATAGCAAGCTGTATGCAAAGACATCTTTCCAGGATCTACCAGAGATTCCTAGTATGAATGAAACCTACTAAGCAACCCTATTCCCTAGGGCTAACTTGGGCAGTCTAGTATTTCCAGGGGTTCTGGTAGGATTGAGATGCTCCAGTTGTCCTGGCTTTGCCTGGAGACCCCAGGCTTTCTTAGAGTTTCCAGTAAGGATTTTATATTTGTAGTCACACTAGCTTAGCTAGAGACTGGGATTCTTGCTTGTGTTCAGAAGTGAAAAGAGGTCTCAAATCAGAAAGCAAGGACTTTACCAGGAGTTGAGGAGACTCCAGGAGAAATGTATCAGGGTCAGGAAAGCAGCTGCTCTTGGCAGCTGGCTTTGAATTGCTTCCTCCCTAATTCTTACGTTGATAGCAACTGTCCTTTTTGGGGGAAATTAGCCCATTGCCACCCACGAGCCTTTCCTTAGGAAAACCACTCTGAAAATATCAGCAAGAACTCTCTGGATGACTGTCTAGGAAAACTCCCCTGGTAGGTCAAGGATAGACCCACCTGAGACTCTAGTGTCTTTCTGAAAGGCCACAGATGGGGCCAGGGCACTGCCTTTTTGCACAGAGAGCCCTAAAAATGAAGTAAGTGCCTTGTGTCAGTGCAGCGTTCTTAAAGGAACAATGTCCCTGAGCTGCTTTAGGCTGCTTTAGGTACATGGTTTAAGCTAATGGCCCTAGTCACATTCCTCCTTCTGTCCTGCTTATGAGGGTGTGTGAGCTGCCCAGGCACACACATTCTTGGTATCTCACAATTTATACTGTCAGTATAGAGAGAAAGTTGTGGGGGTTGATTTTTTCTATTGCAAAGGTTGCCAAGTGCCTGCTGTCTCTAGTGAAAGGTATATGTCTGGAGCTGACAAGGACAGATTTGACCAAGGTCAGGCAGGGGCATTTCAAAAAGAAGGGAGGAAAGGAAAGGTCTTGCTCTGTTCCTCTGCTGGGGGTCTTACTACTCAAGAGTTCAAAGCAGGGATTGATTTACCAATAGAAGTAAAGGAATGAGGGGACATGTGAGATGGAGGGAGTGAAGCAAAAGGGAAGCAGAAGAAAGCAGCTAAATTCAGGGGTAGGGTTGGATTGGAGTGATTTGGGCTTGTGGATGCGTGAGGAAGTTGAAAGGGCTCTAATTGCCATGCTCAGAAGCTGGATGAAGGGGTAGATAAAGTAGGACTGAGTTGATGCCCTCTGGATTTGCATGTTCTTTTAGATTCATGCTTTCCCTTCTACTGGGCTGCCTCCTGGCACTTTGTCATACTCAGGCGTATCTGCAGGGCATTATGCAGTGCTGTGTACAGGTCCTTACTCCAGCTGTGAGAGAGATGCTGAGCAGTAGATCATATTCACTGAGGCAGAATACTGCATTACTATGGCCATGCTGCTTCCAGTGCCTGCACTAGCCAGTTCAGAACTAGCCCGGGTCTCCTTGCACAGCACTGTATTGTGCTGTATAGAACTGCTGTGGGTTACCCTGGTTCAGGCAGGTCAGCACCGCAGGCTGCAGTGTAGTGTGGTTGTACTGGCTTCAACTGAGCTTGCATTCAAGCTACTGCAGCACAGAGCTTTGTAGAGGTGAATTCACCTATTTCTCAGCTGTGCTGCGCCAGTGTGCAGCTACAGCTAGGTTGTTTTTGGCTTCCACACCAGCAACTTGAAAGTGAGTTCTGGCCTCTCTATACTGCTTTGCAGTCTGCCCTGTAACCATGCCCTCACCCTCCCTGAGATACAGTGGGGTGAATTTAGAGATGATGGATTGAGTGTTGCAAACCATAGGCTGGCGAGTGCGCAAGTTGGCTCTGTCTGAGGCCAGAGGGTAGTGGAAAGGGCTATTTAGACTCACCTCTGGATTTGGCGGATTAGGAATTTGGAGGAGATGGAGAGGGAGGAAAAGTTCTGCTGCAGGGAAGAGAAAAAGGACAGACAGTGTAGTGAGGGACAAGTTGTCATGAGGACTTCAGGGAGTGGTGACAGCCAGTCCTGATGCCTGTGGTGCAAGCTCTCTGTGGGATGTTGCTCCATTCCCTGCTTTCTCTGCAGTGTCCCTCACTCACTGTGCTCTGTTGCAGGCGCGGGACCAGAAGGTGGCAGGTGATGTGGAAGCAGCTCGCCGCTTCAGCTCCAAGGCCAAATGCTACAACATCCTGGCAATGGTGTGGAGCCTACTGCTGCCAGTGCTACTTGTTGCCCTGGCAGTCACTGGTGTGATCCACTTCACCAAGCTGGTTCAGGAGTCCATGAACTTCTTCAACTATGAGATCATCACCATTGAAGATGACAAGAAGTGAGACAGGGGCTTCATGGGTTCCTGGGAGCTCTCGTGGGGCACTCCTAGCAGTGTTCCACATGGACGGCAATCCAGCATGACCCAGCTGAATGGGACACTGTGCATGGCCAGCTGCTGCTATAACCCAGGGCAGCTTTCCCATATCCCTGCAGCTATGGTATCCATGTACTTTGGAACTCGCTTCACAGCTCTCCTTGTGGTGTGGCATGGGATCTGAAAACAGTTCCCCTGTGCATCCTTGTGGCCTGTGTGGACTTACATCCATACAGCTGAGTCTGTGCAGTGGTCTCCTCAGGCCTGGCCCCTTTTGTCTTCCCCACCCTCTCTCCTCATTCGACCTTGGCTTGTCTTGGGACCACTGTTCCCTTTTTCCCACTGCCAAAGACACAAATCCATTTCAACACTTTCCTTAGGCTCCCCCCCCCCATCTTTGGTTGTTTATTTCGAGTAATGTTGGCTGTCTCTCAGTCTAACCATTCTTGTAGCTATTTAAGTGATTAAATAATTTCATACATCTTGAGTCTCATGTGTGTCTGGGAAAGGGGGGCAGTTTCTCATTGGTAATGGACACGGAGCATTTTCTTGATTACTCTTAAGTTTTCACTTCCAACTCTTGTTTACCAGCAGGAGAGAGAGAAATGCATTGTGCTTTATATTGTAAACCCAGATCTTCACACAATCACAGGAATTCAAGAGCTCTGGCCCCTGAGCATGGGTCTATAGAGCCTAATCAACCCTTCACTTTTCTTTTGCCCTCTTGGAAGTCCCAATTGTAGCCTACAGATGTAGAGAGATTACTGCTAGGGCAGGGATGGGCAAAATGTGGCCCGCAGGCCAGATGCAGCCCACCAGGCCATTCTATTTGGCCCATGGGGCCCCTAAAAAATTTAGAAAATTAATATTTATCTGCCCCTGGCTGCCTGTCATGCAGCCCTCAATGGCTTACCAAAACTCAGTAAGCAGTCCTCTGCCCAAAATAATTGCCCACCCCTGTGCTAGGGAGTTGGATTCTTGTCTATGCCCAAGGTGGGTGCAGAAGAGAAGGAAAATAGAAGAATCTTTAGCCTCTGCTAGGAGATACAGGCAACCAGATGGTGGTTTGGTTTTGTGAGGTTTTATCTAGTACATGAAGCCAGGCCTGATAAACGCATATCACTAAAGATATCAGTAAGGTTTGGTGCTGCCATTCAGACAAATTAAGAATCAGTCTGTACTTTTACCCAAGACTGTGTAGGTTGCACCAGAGTCCTGTACCTTAATTCAAAAGTTCTTTTCATTTTTGCCCTGCCCACGCTCCATTCAGGAGCTAAATCTCCCCATGGAAGCCTGTCCAGCTGCATTTCTGACATGACAGGAAGCATAAAGCAATGGGAATCTTACACAGATTCCTGTTTCTGAAGCATGCTCCACCTGACTCTGAAGGACCAGGGATGAAGTTTGGAAAGAAGCACCTAGACCAATGGTTTTCAACCCTTTTTGTACCAGAACCCATTTTTAAACATAGATGGCCAGTCCTGACCCAGTAAGTAGAAAACAGCCCCTGGCCATGCTGGCGCCTCTCACTTCCAACCTGCTGACACTACCCCCAGGCCCCAGCTTCTCAGTTTGGGGGGAAGAGGGAGCATGGGGAGCTCCAAGCAGCCACTGGCAGGCTGGAGCTCTGTCAGCCTGCAAGGGAAAAACCCAGTTTCCCACATTTTTCTCCTTTAAAGGAGAATCTATTTTTAAAGTTTGTTGATCCATATTTAAAGTTTTTCATGACCCTTTCATATATTCTTGTGACCTGCCTACGGTTCCGATCCATGGGTTGAGAAACACTGAGCTAGACATATGTGGTGCCCTTTGGAACAAAACCTCTGCTCCCTGTTTGTCTGTTGGCAGGGCAGTGAGGAGGGGGATTTCATCGAGTGATTTACTATTTCTCCATCCCTTATCCTGTCAAATGTCTCTGAATAATTCCCTGGTGCTGTGAGGAGCCCTGGATCTTTGGTCTCACACACCCAGGTCCAGAGCTCTGCCTTGCATGTATACCTGCCAGTTCCCCACAGAATGGGGCTGTTTTAACTTAGCAGAATAACTGTGGGTTTTCCCTTCTTTGAAGTAGATATAGGCAACCAGTTTGTGGGAGCCTTCTGATGTTATTTTGGTGTACTAAGCTGTTTAACTCAGAGAGGCATGGGTCTCTCAGAACTGTGGCCTGTCATTAGCAGGCAACTATTGCAGGCTTGGACTTTGGAAGACAACGAGTACATGCCTCCTACCACCCGAACCCTCCCATCTGCTACCAGAATCAGAGTGCTGATTGGTTTGTGCACAGGCCCAAAATGGGCAGGATAGAGCCAAAGCCTGGAGCATACAGCTAGTCACTCCCTCCCCTCTCCTTGGGAGCCTTGATGAGTTCCTTCACTGATGTTTGACTGGTTGGTTTGCCATTCATCTCCATCCCACAAGAGCTTGTTTGGACTGGTCAGACTTGGTGCCAATTTAGCTGGTTTCCTGCCCCCCC